GTGCCATCGCTCGTTACCGTGATACTGGTAGCGTAGCCCGACGTCAATGAAGTGGACGGAAGAAACAGGAACATCAGCAGAAACAATGGTTCGAAAAGTAGAGAAGCGACTTGATCGAAACCCGCGTCGCAGTGGCCGAAAAATGGCTCGTGACCTGAACATATCGCAATATTCCATTTTCAAATATTGAGCTCGGAGTAAAGCCATTGAAATTCCAAACAGCAAGAACTGCAAGAACTTACACCGCAACAGAAATAAAATAGACTCAGAAGAGCTAAAGAGTTACTTCGCTTGGCCGAAAGTGGTGAACTGCCAAATTTTGGTTTCTCCGATGAGAAAACATTCGTTGCCCAGCAGTTTGTAAACAAACAGAAGGATCGTGTTTACTTGCCAAAGAGCTCAGCTGAAAATGTGCACCTCCGGTTGGCCACCAGAACTCCAGGGCCGACCATGGTGATGGTGTGGACCGCCATAACAGCCGATGGTTGCTCTCCCCTCTTATTAATCGACCGTGACATCAGAATAAATGCCGAATATTATCGTGAAGATATTCTGGAGGGTGTATTAAAGCCTTGGGCACGCAAACAGACCTTGGAATGGTTACAAAATGAGGTTTCTCGCTTCACCAAAATCTCCGGATACCAATTCGTTGGACTATTGTCTCTGGAGTATTTTGGAAAGCAAGGTTGGCACTAAAAAATACCAAAGTGTCGATCAATTCAAGCAAGCGCTTCGAGGGGAATTGACCAAAATACCACCGAGCAGCATTCGGTTGGCTACCAGAACTCAAGCGCCGGCCATTGTAATGGTGTAGGCCGTCATAACAACCGATGGTCGCTCTCCGCTCGTATTAATCGACCGTGCCATCAGAATAAATGCCGAATATTATCGCAAAAATATTCTGGAGGGTGTATTAAGGCCTTGGGCACGCAAACATTTTGGCCGCAGACCTTGGACATTCCAACAGGAATCAGCACTATCGCACTCAGCACGCGCCATCCAATAATGGTTACAACATGAGGTTCCTCGCTTCATTTCCAGCGCACAATGGCCACCAAAATCTCCGGATACCAATCCGAAATCTGAAGTATTTGGAAAGCAAGGTTGGAACTAAAAAATACCAAAGTGTCGATCACCTCAAGCAAGTGCTTTGCCGGGAATGGGCCAAAATATCGCAGGGCAACATTCGGGCAGAGTGTGACGGTTTCCTTGGCCTTTTGAAGGCCATAATTCGTGCCAAAGGTGAGCGATTCGAACAAAACTAAACTTATTCTACAATTTGATGCTATTTCCGACTTTTTTTTTCATTCAATAAAATTTTAAAAAAAATGTAAAAATTATGGCGTTTGACTTTGTTGCATTTTTTTTATCTCACCCTATATAGACATATTTCTGAGTGTCCGCCTTGGAGGAATGTTTTTACCATTAATTCTGATGAAAGTTCCATTATACCGACTTATTAATGATTTCAATATTTCGATATGTTCATATAGGTTTATAACTTTAAATGCAGATATGTTAAATTTGTAAAAAATTGTATTTGTGCAATACGTCTTCTCCTGTTTAATAATATAAAATGTATTTCAAAATTAATTAGCAAAAAATATTTAAAATTCCAAATGTCCCAAGGTTTTGAGGGAATTTCCAACACATAATAATAATTATTATTTTTAAAAACTAAAACACAATACCTTATACGGGAAATACATACATCTAATAATGCAAAACCAAAAAACTGAAAAGAAGAAGAAAAACACATTTGGAGACAATCAATTGCCATAAATTGTCATCTGTCACAAAATGGAATTTGGTATTTCGTTGGAATACTCAAAAACAACAACAACAGCAACACCATCGAATGCAAAGTTCAATTGAAAATTTGTTTTATTTAATTTACAGGGCCCCCATCATCTCTCCCTCCGTCCATCCATCTCCACAGCAGCAAAACAAACATTCCTGGGGCAATATGTTTGAGTTATTAGAATCAAATTGTAGATTTTCATGGCAGACAAAGATGTACTTGCAACTATGTATCAGGCGGTGTGTGTGTGTGTGTTTCTATGTATGCAAATTAAAATTGAACCCAATTTGCTCGGCGAGAAGGCACATGGCTACGCATGGACAGCTAATACAATTTTCTTTTGTTTTTGCTTTTTTTTTCTTCATCGTCTCCACATTACGACTGGTCACACTTTAGGCGTGAAATGAGTGTGCCTTGTCGTCTTGCCTCCATGTCAACATTGATGACACAATAACGTCTAGTGGCTCATTCAAAGTTCAATACTATTTTAATTGGAACAAATTTTGTTATTTTGAATAATATGACAATGTGTGTAAATTCTTGGAAAACAAATGAGATGAAGACAAATAAATAAATAGGTTGGATAGGATGGGTTAGCACTGCTATGAAGCCCATAAAAACAGGTCTTACCTCAGAACAATAAGACAATTAATATTAGGGAACATTCCTGCCTTATGCATCGGATAAAGAAAATAAATTTTGTATCCAAAATTATATATTTGATTTTTAAAAAATGTTGAAATATTCGTGAGGTACCAGATCTTGTGTTAGTTGAAATATTGGAATGTATGAAGCTTAGGATGAATCGGATGCTTCTTTCGCGTTTTTTAGTGAGGTCCTTTTTTAGGGGGTCCTTTATATCCCATCTTCAGACATGCCTTGTTTTATTAAAAATTTTGACATATGTGAAATGTGAAGAGAATTAGATGTTCAATTCGCATTTTATAATCGATATGGTTCTTCAAAATGTTGACCCTTTGTGGGGGTGGTGTCTCAAGGAGTAGTCCTATATTTGCTACCTTCACACCAAATCATGTTTTAGTAAAAATATTGGTATGTGTGAAATTTGAAGGCAATCGGATACAAATTTATTTGGTTATTCAAAATTTTGACCTCTTGGGGGGAGGTACCAGAAGGAGGTGGACCGATATCTACCATCTTCACAGCAAATATTGTGTTGATAGAAATATTGAGATGCTTATTTCGCGTTTCATGGTTTTTCAAACTTTTGACCCATTGTGGTGGAGGTACATCGATATATCCCATTTACACAGCAGATCTTGTGTTAATAAAAATATTAGGATATGTGAAATTTGAAGAGAATCGGATAAATATTTCACATTTTATGGAAGTTATAATTATTCCAAATTGTGACCCTTTTGGAGGAGATACTGGAGTGGGAAGATATTGTCCATTATCGCACCTGACCTAGCACTGACAAAAATATTGGAATTGGCAAGGTTTGCACAGAATCAAATGATAATTTCTATGAGGTGATATATTTTCTTTAAACATTTTGACCTTTTGTGGGGAAATTATCAGAAGGAGTGGACCGATATTGCTCATCTCTGAACTTGATCTAAGGTTTGATCATAATATTACGATGTATCAGGTTTGGATCACATTGGGTACTAGCCAGCCAGGCAGACAACCCTAGATCGACTCCCAACGTACTGAAACGGACATATCCCCCGCAGTCATATGGCGAAGGGTATAAAAAACCTTAATTTCGGCAGGTCCAAACTTTAAACAACCTCCGCCATGGGACAAAGAAAACAATAAAAGTGCCTAAACTAAAAATGCGACCAACTTTCAGTTTAAACTGAAACTTTCAGTGAAATCGATGGAAAAATGCAGGCTATGTCTTCAATATGCCACAAAGTGGGCATATGAATCTGCAGGGGTATTCATTTATTCTGAATTTCAAATACCAACTTTAAAATATTTCTGCCAATAAATGTGGCGAAAATAAAAAATTCGGCGCTATCGGTACACGAAGGCCCAAGGAAAATGTAGACCAATATAGAAAATTTTCGAGCACCGGAGCTAGATACTAATACTTACTGCAAATACCGAATTTTAAACAAATCCTAGAGAATATGTGGCTAAAAGCATAAAAATACCGACAATGTTATGCCAGGGGAATTAAGACCAATTACAATTTTTAAATTCCAAATTAGGAAGAATTCTGTTAAAAATGCGGCTAAAATCATCAAATACAAAAAAAAAACGGGCGGTATCGATACATGGAGTCCCTGGGAAAATACAGACCTATATAGATAATGTTCGACCAACGGAATTAGAGAGCAACGCCAATTATAAATAAAGAATTTTAAAATAAATCCGTTAGAAAATCTGACTTAAATTTTCAATATCCAAAGATACCGTTTTAAGGGGGCTATATGAAAAACGTGGACCTGTGTTATGTCACGGGAGGTAAAATCCATTACAAACTCTAAATACCAAATTTAAAACAATTTCGTGGAAAAGTGTTGCCTAAATCATAAAATAAAGAAAATCGGGAGATATCGATATATGGGGGTCCTAGGAAATCTTGGACCTATATAGAAAATGTTCGACCACCGGAGCCGAATGCCGAATCTTAAAGAAATCTGATAGAAAATATGGCTGACATCAGTAAAATATTGAAAATCAGAAGGTTCCGTTATATGGGGCCCATATGAAAACGTGGGCCGATATGTCTCAATTTAATACCAACTATCCTAAATACAATTATAAATATTACGCCAATTTTCGAAGCTTCGTGTTCATGTTAAATAATACCGAACATCCGAAGATATGGGGGCTATAGGAATACGTGGGCTTATATGGGACAATAATATGCCACATTAAAATTTAAATATCAAAATTGAAACAAATGCGCGGAAAAATTTTGGTTAAAATCATCAAAATCGGGATAGGAGTTACACATACGAAAACGTGGGCCGATATAGCTCATTTTCAATACCAAACAATCCAAGACACACATCAAACTATTTTGCCGAATTTAAATTAGCAAGGTCACATAATGTGGGCTGTATCTTGATTTCAATGGTTAGACAGACAGACATAATTAAATCGACTTAGAATCCTATGCTAATTACGAATATAAATACCTAATAGGGTCTCCTACGACTATTTGGAGGTGTCAAAAATGGAATGATACATTTAATAAGTAGAGGGTATAAAAATCCACTTAAAATTTCAGTTATTTACTCCATCTACCATTTTATTGCACTTTTTCTTCTCTTCAACTCATAACAACAAAAATAAATGTAAATCCATAACGTTTGTCCCCGTGTGGCCTGTCATCACATGATAATCTCCCTGTTTTAGTTGCTTATAAAAATTGTAGGAATCGTTGTTCTCCACAAATGCAATCAAATCAGAAATCTCTTTTGATTTCGAGTACAAAAAGTCTTGCACCACTTCTGAGCAAGCTAAAGCTCCAGCAGCATTGGTAGGTCCATCAATGCCATCAGTGCCGGCACTTAAAAAGCAAACCTTACGCAATCGTTCCTCACGATAGAATTCCAGGGCTAAACGTAAAGCCAATTCCTGATTGCGGCCGCCAAGACCACAGCCGGAGACCTGGGAAAGAACAAATTATCAACATTTCATTAAAAAAATGAAATTCTAAAAAACACCAACCTTCACGGTGGGCTCCCCAGCCGTAATTAGCAGCAAAGGCTTCTCTGATTTCTGACACATCAGCAGGGTTTTTAGAAAATGTTGAAATATCCTCGAATCAAATGGAAATCTCTTTCTCAGCTCATATTCCTCAATGAGGCCCTCTTGGAAATCATAAATTGCCCGCAGAAAATCACAATAGGTTTTTGTCAGACCCTCAATGTCGCCCTGCATCGTTGTGGAGGCAATAAAAGGATTGTAGTTACATGACATGGCCTCGGCCACAGCAGCCGATGTGGCAACACGATTATCTCCCACCACATAAATCGAGTTGTTCGGCTGAGGCAACACTTCCTTATCACTGCCACTGGTAATTAGGATTTTCATATGATCCGGCAAATCTTGCCATAAGTCATATTTATTTAGAATCTCTTCAGCTGTCGTTTGCCTTGTCCCCACTGCCGTCGACGAAACCCATGTCGGTCCACTGGCAATCAGATCAACAGGATCACCAACAATATCACTAATGACAAATGATATCACAGCTGATGCTTGACTAGCGGCGGCAGCCAGCTGACCACCTTTTATTGCGGACAAGGCAATGCGCACCTGATTCATTTCCTGTATAGAGGCTCCTTTATTGGAGAGATTTTTCACAAGCTGCATTTTTTCATTTAGTTTTATGGGGTCCTTGGGCAATGGCAGCAAAGCTGAACCCCCACCCGAAATTAAGACAAAGAGAATATCATTGCCGTTTAGCGATTCTGCCAGAAGCTTAATTTCTTTTGCTGCCTGCAAGGCTGTGGTGTCGGGTTGATTATTTTCAGCTCCTTCAAATACCCGAAAAACGGTGTTCTCTTTGAGGCACATTTCTTTGAGATCTCGGAACTGTTGCTGACTGCCCTGCAAAAGTAAATTGGGAACTCAGAAAAATTTTAGAATAATGAAGATAACTTATAAATTGAGCTTACAATTTAGTCTTAGTCTAAGATGGACTTAATGAATATTTTTTTAGGTTTGATTTTCTTCGAGATCACTTAAGTTGAGCACAGGGCTGATCTTCGTTCTATGCGAAGATCAAAAACAGAAGTGTTTAATTTAGTTTATTTATCCAAAAGGAATTCATTAATATTTATTTGGTCTTTAGACTGCTGTTGATCAGTTAAAAGTCTAATATCAAAACAAGAGCTGTTGAAAGGTGTTCTAGGTAATGCATTTTCTCAGAAAAAGTCAAGTAAAATGTTGGTATTTTGGTAGAATCAACAGACAACGACCAGTTGGAAGGTCTTTCAATACCAAAATAATTGACAGATCTTTTCCAAAGTAGAAGTTATTTTGAATTACCCAATATTTTTATTTTATTTATTTATTTTTTTTTTTTTTTTTTGATTTTGCTAAAGAGACCCATTTCCCCCTTAGAAAGCTAACAAGCATGTGGAGCTCGGAAAACACAGACTTGGTCTTAAATTGAATATATGATGTACATCAAACGACAATCAAGTTTGGATCTTTTAATACACTTTAGCACTACTCCATTTGTGGATTTTGAGGCAATACAGAGCCACTCAAGGCGAGTACTTTTTAGATTTTTTATGACTCCAAATTCTGATTGGTCGAAAAACACAGGTATGGGTATTAATTAAATTGTAATGCATTTTTAAAGAATTTTAATACGACTTCAAGTGTAGATTTAGAATTAATTTGATTTGATTGAGGCGTGGTTTTTTAATGAATTTTTGAAGAATTTTTTATGATTGCTGCCATACGTTCTTTACAAAATTTTTAAAGGGACTTTAAGACCTCTCTAGGCTTGTTTTTTTTTTTTTTTTTGAATTTTTGAAGTTCTTTTTGGCCTTTTGTGGATTTTTTAATGGACTTTAAGACAGCTCTAGGCTTGAGTTTTTGAGGAATTTTCAAGGGACATTATGATGACTTCAGTCGTGGATTTTTTAATGATTTTTAATGGACTTTAAATCGCATCTAGGCCTATGATTTTTAATGGACTTTAAGACGGCTTAAGGCTTGAAATTTTAAGAATTTTTAGGTCCTTTATGGAAATTCCAGACGAGGACTTTTTATTATGTTATTATAACTTCAAACGAGGTATTTTTAAAAAATTTTAGAAGAATTTCGAATTTAGAAGATTTTTAAATTAATTTTTTTACGAACTCTTGGTTTCCTAGAGAATTGGCGATACAGTCGTAGATTTTGTAATACAATTTTTATCGGACCTTAAAACTTGAGTTTTTTAATAACTTTAATATGGTTCTAGGCTTGGATTTTTGTATGTCCTTTATGTAGACTCCAGACGACGATTTTTTTATAGGCTTTAACTAAATTCCATTCCTAAAAAAATGTTGACATCTCTATTGGCGACTCTAGATGAGAATTGTTTAATGCTTTGTAATGGAGTTTAAGGCTTTGATTTTTTTTAGTGAATTGATTTTTTTAAGGAAATTTCTAGGTCCCTTGTGACTACTCCAGTCCTAAACTGTTTAATAAATTCTTGAGATATTTTAACACGCCATAGTATGGAGGGTATATTTAGTTTGTCATTTCGCTTGTAACATCTCCTAATGTACATTTTAGACCCCACAAAGCGTACATGTTATTGATCAGCATAAAATTCTATGTCGATTTAGCGATGGCCGTCCAAGGAAGTCACTTTAGCTTCCGAGCGAAATGAAGTAGGTTAATAAAATTTCACTCAGATTTGTTTTAGGCATGCAGGACTTTTGGTATTGAAATGGGACTATATTGGCCCAAGTTTTAGTATAGCCCCAATTATTAAAAATTTGGTGTTTGCAGTTCAGACGTTTTTTAGATCTACAGGACTTTAGGTATTGAAATAGGGATGCATAGGTTCACGTCATGGTAAATCCACAATTGTTGAAAATTCGTAATAGGTACAGCCTTCCACGACATAAAATTTCCTATACAGATCCAAGCCTTCATATAGCTCCATACAGCCAATATTCGGCATTTTTGATGATTTTAGCTACATTTTTAACAAAATTCTCTCAAATTTTGGTAATAATAGGCTTCGCTTTTTCTAGCAGATAACTGAATATAGGGGTCAAAGTTTTCGTATAACCACATACAACGGTTCCTCCCTATATTCGGTATTTTGATGATTTTACCTACATTTTCAAAAGAATTATCTTAGCTGCTTGTATACCTAGTAATGATTGTTTTAAATTCGTTATTGAATTCTGAAGTTTTACAGCCGATTTTCTAGATTTCATTCCGAAAGTTGTTAAAATTGTTTTGGTAGGGCAGCATTTGGTCATAAACTTAAACTTTAAAACGGTGTCATCAACAAAAAAAATTCAGTTTTGCTGTCTTCCTTCTACTAAGAGCAGTAAAATGATACGCCCTTTAAAGTCTTTTGTCGCTGAAAAGGATGGCATTTTTGAGAAGGCTCTCTATATCCAGCGCCAAGGTATATGGAACTTACTTTTCCGAATTTAAGGGTGAATGAACAGTTAGGGCAATACGAGATCTTGTTATTTAATATCTTGCGACTTCTCCCTCTAAAATCCCATGAAATTTAGCGTATATGCCAACATCTCAGCGTAAATTCATAACCTCATAAATGGTGTTCGAGGACATGGATATTTTTTTCACAAAAAAGGAGGGACCATTTGACAGACATGTTTTTTTCAACAAAATAAAATAGAATATGTTCGGCAGATGAAGTGATGAGTCATGAGACATTCTGCTTTTCATATTTCAACAAAATCAGGCTTTGGATGCTAATCATTGACAACGAAATATCATTCTGTTTCCTTAGAATTATGTCTTATTAAAGAAATAAAGCATATATTTGAGACGGAACGGAAGGCATTGTTCAGAAGGCTCTCTATCCACAGGGTGTAATTATTTGGTGCAACCTAACTTTTCCGAAATTTAGCGTGATTGAACAGTTAGGCCAATCTTGTGATTTAACGAATTTTCCCTTAAGGATCCCGTAAAAGTTAGCGTCTATGCCAACATTCCAGCCTTTATTCAGAACCTCAAAATTGGTAATCGAGGAAATTATACATTACGATTTGTTTCGGTCCGGTTTCATAAAAAGGGTATGGTCCCTTAATTGTGCTCCTGGGGGCCATTTGACAGACATATTTCTTTCCCAACAAAAAATAGAATAAGATGTAGTCCTTTCACTGCTTTTTGAAGTCCACATATTTCAACAATATCAGATTTCCGATGCTAATCATTGAATTTAAAAACCCTAAAACGTAGAAAATTACATCGACAGGTCTTTCCTTCATAATGTTAGAGGATGGTATGCAAAGGAATTATTTTTTTTTTTTTTAATTTGTAAAAATATTTTAACGACTGTTTTTTGATCTACTTCCAAAGAGCTATGCAAAATACATGATTATTATTCGAAATAGACTGCTTCTTTGCTGCAGCGCGCCCTTGCAAAAATCATGACTTCTTTCACTTAAAATGATATAGTCCGGAATCACCAGAACTTATAGCTGGACTATTTCTCTGGCATAAAACATTTTGCCGGGTTATTATTAATGGCATACCTTTTTCTCAAATACCCTCCGAAACCCTACCTAAAAGAAGCCAAGATTAGCAGTAACCCTGTAGTTTATTAATTAAAAAAAGTAAATCCTTATAAAAAAATATAATGCATTTGTATACAATGATATTAAAATTAATTAATCCAAATTTTCATAGACATTAAATCCCCGCGAATAATCAAATTGCAGCTGTAATTTCGGTTCGGGAACAATGTGTTTTAGTGGCGGCATTGGTTTCAGATAGTCTCGCAAGTCGGGCTGCAATGTAGTTTCCGTGGGTTTCTTCACTTTACTACTTTTCGACGTTGATGGTTGCTGTGGTGGCAAAAAGGAGTCGTTCACATTCAAGGGCAGTAGGTTTTTAAAAACATTATATGTAACACCGAAATTAAGTTTCTTTGTGGTCTCACTGGGCAATGTGGGAATATTGTCGGCAGCGCCGGCGCCTGATGGAGGAACCTTCTGATGTTGTAATTTTTCCGCCTGACGCATTTGTCGCAAAGTGGTGTATAATTTTGGTCGTTCCAATGAGGACATGATTGTTGGCGTTATTTTGAATTAAAACGGGGGTTAAGAGAGGTTTAACTTTGATAATTTTGTGTTCGTCTAGGATTTAGGCGGCAGAGGATTCACTTTGTTTACAAACTAAATAATAACAACAACTATCATATGGAAACTGATTCCTTTCCCTCTCAAGCTTCGATTCATTTACCACGATATTCGATAATAAACGCTGTATTATCCAATACACCAACCACTTTTTGCCTTATAATATACAACGATAACACAAAAATCGATAACTTACCTTTGGTATACTGAGTATGCCCTGTTTCAGTGCGTCTCCCAAAGCCTTTTCCAATTCCACCGCCATACCCAGCACGGCTTTACCAAAACCCACTGCATGACAACGTTTATTGGTTATATCGACCCGTTTACCCTGTAACTGTATAAACACCCGATTGCCTTCCGAACGCGGTTCTAAATTGTAGTTATTTCGTGCCGATAGTAGATTGTGGGGACGCACAGACTCGACAGATTTGAGAAAAATGTTTTTAAGATTTTGCAGATGTTGCCAGCGGTTATACATATTTAAACGACACACGCACTTAGAACACTCGTAAAATACGCGACGTTTTCCGATCAAATAAATAAAACTATTTTCCACTTTTTTTACTTTTTCTTCTGATAAGAAGTTTTAAATTTATTAAATGAATGAAGTTAACAATGGCAGTTGGATAAACAAACTAACAGCTGGTTCAATGATAAGCCAAATTGAGGAAGAAGAAGAGCGGGTTGTGAGTATCAGGGAATTGATAACACGAACACACAATCTAAATTAGTGGTAACGTATCGTAAATGTCTGGGATGTTAAAAATATTGAGTTTTGATTTATCTTCTGATTTATAATGAGAAATTAGTTATTAAATTTATTAATAGACTTATGGCTCAACAATTGAGCCATGAATACACTTATCTCGAAGCTGAGGAGTTATCGGAGCTGTCATCAGCGTGGGAAAGTCAAAGTAATCAAACCAGATGTAATAGTTTATGTTGCAGTGAAATAATAATCGGAATAAAATGCAAAGAATCAATGGCGCCAAACTCAAACATATTCCACAACTGCACGAATGTAAAAGTTTTAACAACAATAGGTGTGTCTGGTTACTTTTCCTGCAGGAATTGTCCAGTAACTTCTTTCTGAGAGAGTAAGGTAGTTTTATTCTCTTTTGCAAGGAAAATGCGAAAAGTAAACAGACGGTATTCCTGCAGAAGCTTGCAACTAATCAGCTGATTTGTCAAAACAAACCAATTTGTCCCCCATAAGGAGAATTAAAACAAAGGAAGCAATACTAATTTTACAAGTTTTTTAAATAAAAATGTCTATTTCCAGTCTTTTATTTTCTTATTACATATTAACATTTACGTTTTTCACATTTTGTAAAGTTTTTCTCCAAAAACTATTAGTCTTGCTAATTCCAAAAAAATATTTTCAAATTGAAAGCACAAAAAGAAATAAACAAACAATAGAAAACATCTGATTGAATGTCGATAAATGAGAAGAAGAAGGGTTGCAAGTGATTGCAAGAAGAAATTTTTCCAGCAAGAATTTGCAAACTCTCACTGAAAGAACTGTCAAAATTTCTCTCTCCAACCGCTCTCTTTTGCAGAACTTTTGGGTTAACAGACGACTTCCAGTAACAATTTGTAACAATTGTTACAAATTTTAGGGTAACCAGACACACCTAATAACCGACTTTCCAATCTAAGATCTCTCAAGTAATGGGTACTCAAAAAAGACATTTTAATATTAAGAAGAACACTCAGCCAGCATATACCGAAGATCTACAAAATTGGCAAATTTATCTCCAAACAGACCTGCTATATACCGAAGTAATTTAGAATTATATTTTTTCTAGGCTGATGATGTATCTCTCTTCTCGCAAGGTACATGGTAGAAGAATATAGGTAGACGCATCGACGCAGCTGCTGGGGCAATGAACTGTCAAACGAATGTTCGATTTGAAAATGTTGAATGAAAAATTATTTAAATTTGTAAAAATTGTTGAAAAAGGTCTTTTATAATAACCTCCGAATGACGTCGTATAAGAAAACATATAAAAATCTACTTATATTTGAAAAGAAATTTAAAAATTTTTGACACATCAATGCTCCCAAGCGTTGATGCATCTGCCTGTATTTTTCTACCATGGCAAGGTATTAAGGCAGAAGATCTCGGTGGTTGCCAGCTCATCGGAGAGACAACATGATGCGGAAACTTTTCCCCGTAAGAGAACAAGGTTTTCAAAATTGTGCAAAAGAGAGAAGTCCTAAGCTCCGAAGAAGTTGTAAGCATTAATTTGTTAATTTTATGAAAAAGTTACTGGTCTCTCAATTCACTTTAGCAGGGAAGTCAAAAATGGTTTCGAGAGCTCAAAGAACTGTCACTCAAAGAGAACATCGTTTTTTTGGGATATTTGAAGGATCTGAAAATAATCAATCCGATACGATGCCTTGCAAACAGGAAAATATTTTAAAACTCTGTGGAATCATAAAACGACAATTATCTTTTGGTTTATTATCAGGCGGTGGCTCGGCCATGTTGCTGCATAGGCAGCAAAAAAAACTTAAAAAAAGCCTAAACCATAAAGGAGCCTCTATACAGAAAATTGATTAGGTACAAATTTCCCAGGTCTCCTGACAAAAATCGTTTCAAATTTGGTATTTGAAGTTCGTAATGGATACTACAGACTAAGGCGAAAAATTGTCAGTGCATGTCCACGTCTTCGTATAGCCCCCATACAACAGTACCTCCCGCATCAGGTTTTTGGACGATTTCAGCCACATTTTCCAGCAGAATTGTTTAAAAATAGGTATTTAGAGTTGTATCGGGTTCTGCCTCTTGTAGCAGATTTTTGTGTATATATGTCCACTTTTTCCAATAACCTCCATGTAATGGTACTTCCTGATATTCCGTATTCTGTTGATTTAAGCCACATTTTCTACCGGAATTATTTGAAATTCGGTATGGGGAGTTTGTAGTGGGTTCGATCTTTTGTGGCAGAAGACTGCTAGAAAATGTCCAGGTTTCACCCATGTAACGGTACCTCCGAATATTTGGTATTTTTGAGATTTTTGCCATAGATTTAAACATTTTTTAGATTTGGTATTTAAAACTCGCACTAGAAAATAACTATTATAGCAGAAAACTGGTACCAACCGATTTCACTGGCCAAAAAAGAGGTAGATCTAATATTCAATCCCGATTTTTTTTTATTTTTAAAGGTTTTTTTTTTTTGTTCGGCTGAACTTTACACATATTTATTTGTTTTAAGATATATTCTACAAAAACTTTGTGGATTTTTTTATTTGTTTTGAACTCTCGAAGAAAAAATCGTGGATATCTTTTTTTAAAAGACAAACACTTTGTGTATTATTTTCAATTGTTTCGAGCTATCGAGGAAAAAATCGTGGATATGTATCAAATTTTTTTCTCAATGAGAATTGAAAAATGTAGAAAGAAATCGTGTATTTTTCCACAAGATTTTTTCTTGGACTTTCTGAAGAAGATTTTTAAGCATATCCTGACAAAGAATAGTTGTAAAGGTGCTTCTGATATTACTCAGGAATTTCTGCAAATATTTATTTGATATTTTATTGAAAAAATATTCTGCAGGGAATTTTTACAAATATTACCATTTGTATGGTCAAAGGCTAAGGGTATGCTTCAGTCGACATGGATACTTTTTAGCTATTTTTTTCATATCTAGACCAAATTTCTAACCAACAGGGTCCACATTTTTTATGTAGCCCTAATAAAGGGTTTTAAACTGAATTTAACTGAATTATTTAAATAATTTCTGGAATTCATTCACTTTCACAGACTAAATCAAAGAAAATTTTCCTTTTTACTAATTTTAATATTTTATGGCCCAAAGGGCCATGGACGGTTCAAAAAAAATTTTTTTTTATTTTGAAATCTTATTCAATTTCAATTCAATTCTCAATAATTTCTTATGATCCAGTTATGGTTTGAATAATACCATTTACCACCACTAACTCCGCCTGTGCTGGAGTCCCCATTGCAAAGGGTGATGAGGAGCCGGTGGAAAGGAAGTAGGAGCCACGTGCCCTGGAATGAGAAAAAGCTTCTAATTAATAACAGGAATAAGGAGAAAATTGTTCAAGAGGTGAAAAGGATAAAAAAAGCAATGCACATTTTTATAATAATAATCTAATCTTCATTTCTTTTCAGAAATCCCAAATTTCCGGAGGCAGACACACAAAGTTTCATTAACGAAACTCCAATTTAACGGACAGAGGCAGATGAAATATAAGACCTGTATCAACTTTTTATATTTTCTTCCCTGATTTCTCCCTTTCTTTCTGCATGCTCCGATCTACTCACTTATTACTGACATAGTAACCCATCAACTGGTTTTCCTCTTCGAAATGGTAGCATCTATTCAACAAGAAATGCAGGAAATTGCCGCAGTAATATGACCAAAATCCCACATCCGTTGTAATCGATTCGGCATAGTAAATCACGGAACGGAAATGGTTACAATTTCCTGAAAATTTTGAAGAATACTTAGTATGATGGAATTGTATTCGATAGTAGAAAAAATATACTCCTCTCCTCGCCAAAGTTACAACCCGGCTGGATAATTGTCTCTAAATTTGGATAGAAATCGGCATGACCAACCGGCGTTAGAAATGAAAATATAAACGGATCGGTGTGTATGACATCGACAAAATCGGCATCCGTTGGATCTAGTTTGTCTTTGGGATCATCAGACTTGAAACCCCAGGCGGCAGGATCGAGAGCTGTGGAAAAAAGAGAGATAAAGGAATGGAAATGGTGAAATATGATTTATTTATAATATAATTGATTAAAAACAACGTATACTACATATTTGATAAATGGAAGCAAATCATGCGGAATGAAGCAAATGGATATTTTTCTAAAAAAAAATACACATTATTCCCAAGAGGACTCACCTGTTATCTTTCCTATTCGAAAATCCAAATGATTTGCCATTAGACCAGCTATTTGACCACCCAAACTGAAACCGATTATGTGAATGCTGGCGGGGGTGTAAAATCCCCTTTGCACAAAATCTCTTACAAGTTCAGCCAAACACTTGGCCACAGCCCGAGTATTTTCTATGGCCCATGGATAGAGGCATGGCAGAGTGACCAAGGGCTCATAATCTACACTGATGACATCTGCCTCGGTATACTGTAATAAAAGGGGTCTTATTTCGGCATTGGGTGATTTATCCTTGTTCAAAGTGAAACCATGTATTAGAATTTCCAAAGAAGATTGTGGCTGCAGCAGGTCCTCTGTAACGTTCAAAGGGTCCAACAAAAAGGGAGTATCTGGGGAATTGCTGGAAATGTGAAGAGAGAAACTTTAGAATTTTTTCTAAAACAAAAAAAAAAAATAGGTTTTACCTTTTGTAGAGCCAAAATCCAACATCCTTGTTTGGACATTTATTTTCGGCAAAATAACACGGAAAACCATTAATTATTCTAAACGTAATGAGGACTTCAAGAAATTATTAATTTTTTTACTTTCAAAATTTTGATATGTTTCCCCAGAAGCTTACATTCGAACAGCAAGAAGACAAAGCGTTTCGTGACAAACATTTTTCACCAGACACCAACTCGAAATAAAACTCGCGTTTATTTATTATGGCTTCGAATATAAATATATTTTTTAAATCTACAATAAATATAAATAATCATATTTTTTTACATCTAAATAGGTCAAGTTTGCCTTTTGTGCTTTAGTTCTAAAATGCCATCGTAATTGCATGCTGGTGTTTTGTTTTTAATCCGTTCTCACGGTTTTGTAACTTGATCGCTCATCGAAATGTGTCATTTTTCGAAATTCAACAAAATCATAATCCGTCCAGTCAACAAAGGCTTTTCGCAGTTGCGGTTCGAAATCGTCATCGTAAATATCCTTGTAGTCATAGAGTATGGGCTGACGGCGTCCATTCATATTTTGGGATTGAAGTTTGCCCATGGCAAAGGGGGACTTATCACGGGTCTTGAGGAAGTACGAACCGGAGGCACTGAAATAGAAAAAATATTTTTTTAGAAACAGGTAACATAACGGTAATATTTAAAATATTCAAAATCAATATTTTTTTTGGGAAAAATCTGTACTTTCGTAGACAAATTCCCCTCATTCGAAATTCGTACTTATGTGTACTAAATATTACTAAATTTGGTATAAATACGAATTTTTATGAAGCTGGAATACTGAAAAAATCCACATTTTTTGATTCTTTCAAAAATTAATTTTTAAAAAATCTAAGTTTTTCCAAGTTTTTTGATTCTTTCAAAAATTAATTTTTAAAAAATCCACATTTGTTGATCCTCTCAAAAATTAATTTTTAAAAAATCCACATTTGTTGATCCTCTCAAAAATGAATTTCTAAAAAATCCACGCTTGTTGATCCTCTCAAAAATGAATTTCTAAAAAATCCACGTTTGTTGATCTTCTCAAAAATTAATTTTTAATAAATCCACGTTTGTCGATCCTCTAAAAAATTAATTTTTAAAAAATCCACGTTTGTTGATCCTCTCAAAAATAAATTTAAAAAAAATCCACGTTTCATTCTTTCAAAAATTTTTTTTTAAAAAATCCAAGTTCTTTGATACTTTCAAAAAATAATTTTTAAAAAATCCACGTTTTTTGATTTTTTCAAAAATTAATTTTTAAAAAATCCACGTTTTTTTGATTCTTTCAAAAATTAATTTTTAAAAAATCCACGTTTTTTGATTCTTTCAAAAATTAATTTTTAAAAAGTCCACATTTTTTGATTATTTCAAAAATTAATTTTTAAAAAATCCACGTTTTTTGATTCTTTCAAAAATTAATTTTTAAAAAATCCACGTTTTTTGATTCTTTCAAAAATTAATTTTTAAAAAATCCACGTTTTTTGATTCTTTCAAAAATTAATTTTTAAAAAATCCACGTTTTTTGATTCTTTCAAAAATTAATTTTTAAAAAATCCACGTTTTTTGATTTTTTCAAAAATTAATTTTTAAAAAATCCAAGTTTTTTAATTCTTTCAAAAATTAATTTTTAAAAAACCCACGTTTTCTGATTCTTTCAAAAATATTCTTTAGAAAATTCACATTTTTTGATTCTTTCAAAAATTAATTTTTAAAAATCCACGTTTTTTGATTCTTTAAAAAATTAATTTTTAATAAATCCACATTTTTTGATTCTTTCAAAAATTAATTTTTAAAAATCCACGTTTTTTGATTCTTTAAAAAATTAATTTTTAATAAATCCACATTTTTTGATTCTTTCAAAAATATTCTTTAGAAAATTCACATTTTTTGATTCTTTCAAAAATTAATTTTTAAAAAATCCACGTTTTTTGATTCTTTCAAAAATTATTTAAAAAGTCGACGTTTTTTGATTCTTTCAAAAATTACTTTTTAAAAAATCGACGTTTTTTGACTCTTTCAAAAATTAATTTTTAAAAAATCCAGGTTTTTTGATTCTTTCAAAAATTAATTTTTAAAAAATCCACGTTTTTTGATTCTTTCAAAAATTAATTTTTAAAAATCCACATTTTTTGATTCTTTCAAAAATTAGTTTTTAAAAAATTCACGTTTTTTGATTCTTTCAAAAATTAATTTTTAAAAAATCCACGTCTTTTGATTCTTTCAAAAATTAATTTTTAAAAAAATCGACGTTTCTTGATTCTTTCAAAGTTAATTTTTAAAAAATCCACGTATTCTGATTCTTTCAAAAATTAATTTTTAAAAATTCCACGTTTTCTGATTCTTTCAAAAATTAATTTTTAAAAAATCCGCGTTTTTTGATTCTTTCAGAAATTAATTTTAAAAAAATTCACGTTTTTTGATTCTTTCAAAAATTAATTTTTAAAAAGCCACGTTTTTTGATCCTTTCAAAAATTAATTTAAAAAAATGCAGGTTTGTTGATCCATAATTCCCTTTTTTATTTGCTTACCTCCTCTTAACCCGATGCCCCATTATTTCATCATTTGAATAGGGATTGCACAGACCGAAGACATTGTGCAGCCAACTGGGACAGGCGTAGGACCAAAAACCTTCCGGATTTCTTATAGATTCGGCATAATACTGAGGCGCTCGATCATGGTTACAGCTGCCGGGATCTGAGGGTTATGAAAAATTATTAAAAATATATTTTTTTTTATAAATTTTTGCCTCTCACCCTCCATGTTGTCCGTTTGACAGCCCGGTTGATAGGGACCAATGTTTGGATAGAAATCCACATGGCCCATAGACCTTAACATACCACGTCCCAGCACATCCGTGTGTATGACATCAACAAATTCCGCGTCTGTGGCATCCAATTTGCGATCCGAGCCAACGGTGACGAACATGGGTTTGGCGGGGTCTAGACCTAAAATTTAAAATTTATTAAATTTAACAAAAGCTATTTTTATTTTTATAAAACTTACCTGTTATCCTTTTTAAACGTCTCTTGAGATAATTGGCCGTCTGTCCCGCCACCTGGGCCCCCAAACTGAAACCAATAACATGAATATCATCATTTTCCACAATATTCTGCTCGACCATGGTATTGATGAGATGGCCCAAACATTTACTGGCCAATGGTAGATTTTGTACGGCAGCAAAATAGCAGGGGTATGGAACCAATGGACCATAATCCACGGAAATTACATTGACATCTTGTGTCTCCAATAGAGCTGGCCGTATATACGTATTCGGCGAGAAATCACGATCTCCAGTGTAACCATGTAAAATTATGTACAGGGGTTTGGCGGGTTGGAAGAGTTCGGGGGAGAGATTCAAGGGATCCAATTTCAGGGGAGTATTTTGTGTTTGACTGAAAGAGGAAATTAACAGGGGGTACTGAATATAATCGGAGATCCCTTCCATGAAAATACAGATTCTCATAGAAGAGCAGCGGGTCTTCTCATATAAGAGCAGCGGGTCTTCTCATAGAAGAACCATGGGTCTTCTCATAGAAGAACCATGAGTCCTCTGATAGAAGAGCAGCGAATCTTCTCATGGAGGAGCCATGGGTCTTTTCACAGAAGAGCAATTGCTCGTCTCATAAAAGAGCAAATGCTCGTCTCATAGAAGAGCAGATGCTCGTCTCATAGAAGAGCAAATGCTCGTCTCATAGAAGAGCAAATGCTCGTCTCATAGAAGAGCAAATGCTCGTCTCATAGAAGAGCTAATGCTCGTCTCATAGAAGAGCTAATGCTCGTCTCATAGAAGAGCAAATGCTCGTCTCATAGAAGAGCAAATGCTCGTCTCATAGAAGAGCAAATGCTCGTCTCATAGAAGAGCAAATGCTCGTCTCATAGAAGAGCTAATGCTCGGCTCATAGAAGAGCAAATGCTCGGCTCATAGAAGAGCAAATGCTCGTCCCATAGAAGAGCAAATGCTCGTCTCATAGAAGAGCAAATGCTCGTCTCATAGAAGAGCTAATGCTCGTCTCATAGAAGAGCTAATGCTCGTCTCATAGAAGAGCAAATGCTCGTTTCATAGAAGATCGATTGCTCGGCTCATAGAAGAGCAATTGTTCGTCTCATAGAAGAGCAATTGCTCGTCTCATAGAAGAGCAATTTCACGTCTCATAGAAGAGCAATTGCTCGTCTCATAGAAGAGCAATTGCTCGTCTCATAGAAGAGCAATTGCTCGTCTCATAGAAGAGCAATTGCTCGTCTCATAGAAGAGCAATTGCTCGTCTCATAGAAGAGCAATTGCTCGTCTCATAGAAGAGCAATTGCTCGTCTTAGAGAAGAGCAATTGCTCGTCTTAGAGAAGAGCAATTGCTCGTCTTAGAGAAGAGCAATTGCTCGTCTCAGAGAAGAGCAATTGCTCGTCTCAGAGAAGAGCAATTGCTCGTCTCAGAGAAGAGCAATTGCTCGTCTCAGAGAAGAGCAATTGCTCGTCTCATAGAAGAGCAAATGATCGTGTCATAGAATAGCCATGTAATTGATCTTCTAGTAAAGGAGTATTTTAAGAGAGGGTTTACTTCTCTTCGTTGTATATTTTAATAAGGTTCTACTGTTTATTTTCTGTTTTTTTTTTTTTTTTGCTTTCTGTAACCACTCACTTTGTATAAAGCCAAAATGTAACATTCTCATTGGGACAGTCACCCTGGATGACAACACACTTCGGATCGAATAGGCCCACAAAGGGATTGCCATTTGTAAAACCTAAACAAAGATTTCAATTTATTGACAAAAATTCACAACACAACCAGACAACTTTCACACCTTTAATCAGAATTATAAATACAAAAATATTTGAAATTATTTGTAAATGTCTTAACAACATTTTCGGTAACACCCAACTTCTGTAAAGACTTTTCTTAAAATAAATGGAATTGCCTGGAAATTCTGGCCTTTTATACGTCAAAGGAATGTATGTAACTGGTAAAGTGTTGCAATGCCCACAGACCACACTTTGTTACGCATTTTCAAACGAATTCCAATTTTATTTCTGATTAGTGTCTTAATTTCTTTTCAAAAAAAAAAGAAACAGAATTCAACCCAATTTGGTTCGCCACCCGATTCTGTCATTGTTGTGACACACCAGTTGGTGAACTCTCCAGGTGGGCGAACACTCATTATCACTTGATTAGTTGGTTTTTTATTTGTTTCAAATTAGCCACTTTTGCCACTTGCTTTGGGAAGCTAGGCCGGCGTTGATGTCGTCACAATGATTTAGAGCTTCATTAGAATTTCTGAACACCCTCATAAAATTTCACCGGTGGCACTCGCTCGTTTTTGTTCGACTTTTTTTTTTATAGATTTTTTGTTTGAATCGTAATTTTTGTTTGTTTCAAAAGTCAATGTTGAAATAGTGGATCAAGGTTTCAGGGTCATGGTGTGGTGAAATGGAGATCAAAGACAGTAAAAAAGTGACGCCATGGATTTGAAGGTCTACAATAGCTATTTAAGGTGGATTTTGTAAAAAATATTTTTCGTAGAATAAGCGAAACGTAGATTTTTTAAAGAATATTTTTGAAAAGGACCAACAGAACATGTTTTTTAAGAATATTTTTTATGGACCAAAAAACGTTGATTTTTTAAAGAATACTTTTTGAAGGACCAAAAATGAACGCAGATTTTTTAAAGAATATTTTTGAAAAGGATCAACAGAAACGTGGATTTTTTAAAGAATATTTTTGAAAAGGATCAACAGAACCGTGGATTTTTTAAAGAATATTTTTGAAAAGGATCAACAGAAACGTGGATTTTTTGAAGAATATTTTTGAAAAGCATCAGCAGAAACGTGGATTTTTAAAGGATGTTTTTGAAAAGGACCATCTGAAACGTGGATTTTTTAAAGAATATTTTTGAAAAGGACCGACAGAAACGAGGATTTTTTAAAGAATATTTTTGAAAAGGATCAACAGAAACGTGGATTTTTTAAAGAATATTTTTGAAAAGCATCAACAGAAACGTGGATTTTTTAAAGAATATTTTTGAAAAGGATCAACAGAAACGTGGATTTTTTAAAGAATATTTTTGAAAAGAATCAACAGAAACGTGGATTTTTTAAAGAATATTTTTGAAAAGGATCAACAGAAACGTGGATTTTTTAAAGAATATTTTTGAAATGGATCAACAGAAACGTGGATTTTTTAAAGAATATTTTTGCAAAGGATCAACAGAAACGTGGATTTTTCAAAGAATATTTTTGAAAAGGATCAACAGAAACGTGGATTTTTTAAAGAATATTTTTGAAAAGGATCAACAGAAACGTGGATTTTTTAAAGAATATTTTTGAAAAGGATCAACAGAAACGTGGATTTTTTAAAGAATATTTTTGAAAAGGGTCAACAGAAATGTGGATTTTTCAAAGAATATTTTTGAAAAGAACCAACAGAAACTTGGATTTTTTTAAAGAATATTTTGGAAAAGGATCAACAGAAACGTGGATTTTTTAAAGAATATTTTTTGAAAAGGATCAACAGAAACGTGGATTTTTTGAAGAATATTTTTGAAAAGCATCAGCAGAAACGTGGATTTTTAAAGGATGTTTTTGAAAAGGACCATCTGAAACGTGGATTTTTTAAAGAATATTTTTTGAAAAGCATCAGCAGAAACGTGGATTTTTAAAGGATGTTTTTGAAAAGGACCATCTGAAACGTGGATTTTTTAAAGAATATTTTTTGAAAAGTATCAACAGAAACGTGGATTTTTTGAAGAATATTTTTGAAAAGCATCAGCAGAAACGTGGATTTTTAAAGGATGTTTTTGAAAAGGACCATCTGAAACGTGGATTTTTTAAAGAATATTTTTGAAAAGGACCGACAGAAACGAGGATTTTTTAAAGAATATTTTTGAAAAGGATCAACAGAAACGTGGATTTTTTAAAGAATATTTTTGAAAAGCATCAACAGACACGTGGATTTTTTAAAGAATATTTTTGAAAAGGATCAACAGAAACGTGGATTTTTCAAAGAATATTTTTGAAAAGAACCAACAGAAACTTGGATTTTTTTAAAGAATATTTTGGAAAAGGATCAACAGAAACGTGGATTTTTTAAAGAATATTTTTTGAAAAGGATCAACAGAAACGTGGATTTTTTGAAGAATATTTTTGAAAAGCATCAGCAGAAACGTGGATTTTTAAAGGATGTTTTTGAAAAGGACCATCTGAAACGTGGATTTTTTAAAGAATATTTTTGAAAAGGACCGACAGAAACGAGGATTTTTTAAAGAATATTTTTGAAAAGGATCAACAGAAACGTGGATTTTTTAAAGAATATTTTTGAAAAGCATCAACAGACACGTGGATTTTTTAAAGAATATTTTTGAAAAGGATCAACAGAAACGTGGATTTTTTAAAGAATATTTTTGAAAAGGATCAACAGAAACGTGGATTTTTTAAAGAATATTTTTGAAAAGAATCAACAGAAACGTGGATTTTTTAAAGAATATTTTTGAAAAGGATCAACAGAAACGTGGATTTTTTAAAGAATATTTTTGAAATGGATCAACAGAAACGTGGATTTTTTAAAGAATATTTTTGAAAAGGATCAACAGAAACGTGGATTTTTCAAAGAATATTTTTGAAAAGGATCAACAGAAACGTGGATTTTTTAAAGAATATTTTTGAAAAGGATCAACAGAAACGTGGATTTTTTAAAGAATATTTTTGAAAAGGATCAACAGAAACGTGGATTTTTTAAAGAATATTTTTGAAAAGGGTCAACAGAAATGTGGATTTTTCAAAGAATATTTTTGAAAAGAACCAACAGAAACTTGGATTTTTTTAAAGAATATTTTGGAAAAGGATCAACAGAAACGTGGATTTTTTAAAGAATATTTTTTGAAAAGGATCAACAGAAACGTGGATTTTTTGAAGAATATTTTTGAAAGCATCAACAGAAACGTGGATTTTTAAAGGATGTTTTTGAAAAGGACCATCTGAAACGTGGATTTTTTAAAGAATATTTTTTGAAAAGCATCAGCAGAAACGTGGATTTTTAAAGGATGTTTTTGAAAAGGACCATCTGAAACGTGGATTTTTTAAAGAATATTTTTTGAAAAGTATCAACAGAAACGTGGATTTTTTGAAGAATATTTTTGAAAAGCATCAGCAGAAACGAGGATTTTTTGAAGAATATTTTTGAAAAGCATCAGCAGAAACGTGGATTTTTAAAGGATGTTTTTGAAAAGGACCATCTGAAACGTGGATTTTTTAAAGAATATTTTTGAAAAGGACCGACAGAAACGTGGATTTTTTAAAGAATATTTTTGAAAAGGATCAACAGAAACGTGGATTTTTTAAAGAATATTTTTGAAAAGCATCAACAGACACGTGGATTTTTTAAAGAATATTTTTGAAAAGGATCAACAGAAACGTGGATTTTTTAAAGAATATTTTTGAAAAGGATCAACAGAAACGTGGATTTTTTAAAGAATATTTTTGAAAAGGATCAACAGAAACGTGGATTTTTTAAAGAATATTTTTGAAAAGAATCAACAGAAACGTGGATTTTTTAAAGAATATTTTTGAAAAGGATCAACAGAAACGTGGATTTTTTAAAGAATATTTTTGAAAAGTATCAAGAGAAACGTGGATTTTTCAAAGAATATTTTTGAAAAGAACCAACAGAAACGTGGATTTTTTAAAGAATATTTTTGAAAAGGATCAAGAGAAACGTGGATTTTTCAAAGAATATTTTTGAAAAGTATCAAGAGAAACGTGGATTTTTTAAAGAATATTTTTGAAAAGGATCAACAGAAACGTGGATTTTTTAAAGAATATTTTTGAAAAGTGTCAACAGAAATGTGGATTTTTTAAAGAATATTTTTGAAAAGGATCAACAGAAACGTGGATTTTTTAAAGAATATTTTTGAAAAGGATCAACAGAAACGTGGATTTTTTAAAGAATATTTTTGAAAAGGATCAACCAAAACGTGGATTTTTTAAAGAATATTTTTGAAAAGGATCAACAGAAACGTGGATTTTTTAAAGAATATTTTTGAAAAGGATCAACAGAAACGTGGATTTTTTAAAGAATATTTTTGAAAAGAATCAACAGAAACGTGGATTTTTTAAAGAATATTTTTGAAAAGGATCAACAGAAACGTGGATTTTTTAAAGAATATTTTTGAAATGGATCAACAGAAACGTGGATTTTTTAAAGAATATTTTTGAAAAGGATCAACAGAAACGTGGATTTTTCAAAGAATATTTTTGAAAAGGATCAACAGAAACGTGGATTTTTTAAAGAATATTTTTGAAAAGGATCAACAGAAACGTGGATTTTTTAAAGAATATTTTTGAAAAGGATCAACAGAAACGTGGATTTTTTAAAGAATATTTTTGAAAAGGGTCAACAGAAATGTGGATTTTTCAAAGAATATTTTTGAAAAGAACCAACAGAAACTTGGATTTTTTAAAGAATATTTTGGAAAAGGATCAACAGAAACGTGGATTTTTTAAAGAATATTTTTTGAAAAGGATCAACAGAAACGTGGATTTTTTGAAGAATATTTTTGAAAGCATCAACAGAAACGTGGATTTTTAAAGGATGTTTTTGAAAAGGACCATCTGAAACGTGGATTTTTTAAAGAATATTTTTTGAAAAGCATCAGCAGAAACGTGGATTTTTAAAGGATGTTTTTGAAAAGGACCATCTGAAACGTGGATTTTTTAAAGAATATTTTTGAAAAGTATCAACAGAAACGTGGATTTTTTGAAGAATATTTTTGAAAAGCATCAGCAGAAACGAGGATTTTTTGAAGAATATTTTTGAAAAGCATCAGCAGAAACGTGGATTTTTAAAGGATGTTTTTGAAAAGGACCATCTGAAACGTGGATTTTTTAAAGAATAT